ATATATATATATATATATATATATATATATATATATATATATATATATATATATATATATATATATATATATATATATATATATATATAATAATCATAATCAAAATATAAAAAAATAATTAAAAATTAAAGTACATATTTCAAAAAATAAAAACACAATATTTTTCTAATTAAAAATAATAGAGGATTAAATTCAAAACTTCTGACTCCGATTGTGACCCCAATCATAAATGCCAAATTAAAAATAATAATTTAATATTCCCAACGATTTCCTTATGCAGAAATGTTTCCACCGATACCGAAGCGAGAAACATTCCTTTCTCATAATATTATAAGCCTCCAAAAGCAATGTTGTTGCTTATCCACGCTCGAGCCTCACGATCTCTCGAGGCCGTAGCGAGCGAGCCCACTCCCCGCTTCAAACCATGGACGAGTTAGTCAACCTGAGATCCTTCATATCCACTTCCGTCGACGCTGACCGCACCATCACCTGTGTTTTAACTCCACCCTCTCCTCCACTTGCCGTATCCTATCTATCATCACATTAATTAACTACCGCAGAACAGTAAGACCGCGGACAAAAGTGTTCGACGTCCCCATCCTCCCACATGGAAACTTTGTGTGCTCCCCGAGCAACAGCTCATCGCAAGCGGGCGCCCCCAAAGCCGCGTCCCGTCCCATAGCCATAGCCACAGCCACAGCCAGCTCTTCTTCACTTCACTGAAACACTCACTCCCCGCGAAATCCCCACGCTTGCAATCCTCTCTTCTCTTCACCTTTAAATGCTCTCTCCATTCTAATCTTCACCTCCCCCGCCCAATCCCTCCCCGTTCTTCCCCTTTTTTTTGCCCCTTCTGGTCCAGCAGACAGCAAACAAACTACTGGTGCTTCTTTTCAACGTATCCATGTGAACCATCATCGGCTTTAAGTGCTTCTTCCCTTCGTCTGATATGGCGGACCAACCTTCGCACGTGCATCATTATCGCCACGTGAGATATTCGCACGTGGGAAGCAGCGGCCGACCCGGCTCGCGGCCCCCACCGCCTCGGGACCTGATACAGTCGTGTCCTTATGTCCATGGAGGGAGTTCCACAGGCCCGCCCATGGGAACCGGCGGAGAGGTCGCGCCGCGGCGCTCCAGCTACCGCGGCATCAGGCAGCGGAGCGGTAAGTGGGTGTCGGAGATTCGGGAGCCGGGGAAGGCCAGCCGCATATGGCTGGGCACGTACGCCACCGCGGAGATGGCGGCCGTGGCCTACGACGTAGCCGCCCACGCGCTGCGCGGCGCCGACGCGGTGCTCAACTTCCCCGACGAGATCGCGACGCGTCCCGTACCCGCGTCGGGCTCCCCAACCGCCATCCGCTCGGCCGCCGCCGAGGCGGCCACCGCCCTACTGCTGCGGGGCACCGGAATCGCCGCCGCCGACGACGACGATGCCGTCCCGCAGCGGCCGTCGGAAGGGCAGTACATCGACGAGGATGAAATCTTCGACATGCCGCAACTGCTGGTGAACATGGCGGAGGGGATGCTTATGAGCCCGCCGAGGCTGAGCCCGAGCGGACCCGATGACCTGCCGGAGGTGTACGAAGGCGAGAGCCTGTGGAGGTGGAGCTATCCGTGAGCATTTCGTCGAACACCTCGTTTCGAATTAGAGCGCTAGAATTATGTCAGCTACGGATCGATCTCTGTGAGATGTTCGCATTGCATTGCTATGGTATATATATATATATATATATTAATGTATGTATGTCTATGTTCAATATAAGTATCTCGGACTTGCTGAGTCCGCTAATGATGGAATTAGCGACGCAGTTAACCATGACATTACTTGTAATGCGCGTGATTAACTAACGTCAGAAAGGTTTAGCTTCCATCCTTAATTAGGATTATATGGCGGCCAGTGATATGAATTAAGCAATGGCTTAGTTGAAGACATTGAAAGATAAATAATGACAAGTGATTCGACAGACTTGCTAAGAAGGATTCCTTCTCTTTCTTTGTCTCAAAGTTAGAACTAATAATAGACTTTTTGCCACTTAACTCATTTAATATTTGTTTTCCCCCTCCTTTTCGATTCAAGATGTGATGGAAGAGAAACCAAATAGGAAATGTTTTATGTCGACGACCCATAACAAGTACAGTTAGTAATGGTGAACAATAGTGGATACTTTTGGAGATCATCATTACGAACTGATCCCGAGATGGATATCTATGCTCCTTGAATGCAAAGAACATAATTATAATGCACCGTTTGATGATAATGTTTTTGTGATCAGAGCAAAGAATCTGACCAGAAAAGAAAGCTTTGATTTATTTCCAAAAGACTCCTTTTTTGTCCTTCGCCCCCCTCCCTCTGTGATTAGGAGAAGGAGGCCTATCGGAAGACAGTCAAACCTATTCAATGATTCAATCCGTGGCGATCTCACAGAGCTCACAAAGAGCAGTCATATGTCTCAAGATATCAACGTGAGACGCAAAGAGCACTACCCATTTTGCCAGGTAGCAATCATGAATATTGCACGAATCATTATGCTCATTAAAAGTCGAACATGTGATCCCTTTATTATTATTATTGAGTTACTTTCCAGTTTCTTAAACTTGGTTGGTAAAAGACTATTATCACAAGTCCTAATTTAAACATAAGACATAACTGAATATTATATATTATAATACACATATATACATATATATATAAATATAAAAGCTTGAAATCGTCCTAATGTTTTTGTTTGATCACATTCCATTCCAATGACAACTTTGCAGCGAGAGAATCACAGAAAATATATGAGAAAGATACAGAGTTTGTGCCTTCTTGATCAGATGAACTTAGTTTCTCATCCATATAAAGAGGTGAGGTGATGCATTTATGCTAATCTTATCCACGTCTCATTGCAATGCATCCAACCATAAGCGACAAATTTGTGGGTCCAAAGCACAAAGCCATTGTTTACACATCGATGTAATCAATCCGACTCGCCAACCACACTACTCGTCGCAAGACTAATTTTTCTGAGACATCTTTAATCGTCGATCAACGAAAGTTTCATGCAGCAATAGGTCTGAGAGAAGTGTGTTTATAATTCGCTTCCTATCATTAGGTTTATGGCCAACGATGATGTTGTTTTCACCACTAACAATTTCCTCATTAGCAATCCACAAAGCATCGATCTTCTCTAAATTAACCATCCGATATTTCATAGATGGGATGGATGAGATGCATTCATGCAGGTGGAGGAGGAACGAAAGCATTTTGCGAATGCTCAACGCCAGCATTTGATGGGTGGCGATGTGAGGGTGGAAAGCTACAGTTGGTGGTAGAAGAGGCAGTAATGAAATATATATATATGTTGCATGCAGGCATTTAATCTGTTCTTCCTCATAGTCAACTTCCATTCTCTTAGTCCTTATTGTAGCTTGTGCGACGATGGATACATACACGTAGAACTGCCTTTGGAACATTCGTCGCCGTAAGCTACAGATAGAGACGTTCCAACGATGAGGATTCATCCTTAAACAAAGAGGGTGTACGTGTACGAAGCAGCCGCTCCAACGATCTCCCTTAGATTTGGTGTGGGCCAAGAAACAAAATCTGATGGCAACGCCTACTCCGACGAATAAAACGTGCATGCTCGATAAGAAGGCTGCAGGTTCCGCGAAGCAGAGCGGAGGCGGAAGGATGTGGTGGCGAAGAATCCACTTCGTGGAGGAGGGAGGTGGTGGGGCAGATGAAACCCCCCATGAGGGGATCCATACGCTACAGTCGTTGGGCGTCGGCGCCGCAATGCACCAACTAAAAGCAGCAGGTGTTGGTGGGCTGGTCGGGCATGGAAAAGGAAGACGCTGTTCTTCACTCGTACGTTTGAATAAATGCTTCGGCGAATTGGCCATGGCCGTCGACGCCGGTCCCACCACCGTGTCTTCTCCTCCCTCTCTCTCTCTCTCTCTCTGTACACCGCCAAGCTTTCTCTACAGGCCGCGGTCAATGTTAGCCCCACCTCTCCCCTACGTGCCACGGTCAACAGTAGCCCCACCTGAGACTTACTGATCCCTCTCTTCAATGCGCGCCTATACAGACAACAACCATGCACACCCATACCGAGATTTCTCCCACGTTTGATTTCCTGATCATCATAACTCTTGGATGATTTAACGAACGGACCTGATGGGGCATTTCTAAGGGACCGCTATCCAACAAGTCATGAGTTCGAGTCGCAGTAACAAACTTTAAAGATATTTGGGATTAAAATGAATTATTTTTTCATGAAATATTTTGATGAAGCATAACAACCTCAACCAAAATCCTAACAGATCAAAACTCACATGTTAACTAACTTGATGATGTAGAAATATCTCTGAGGCTGTGATCATTGGAATTGAATCGGTGTTTCATCATACAAAGATGGGCTCTTATAAATCTGATCATAATCCAGCCCGTAAAGCTTCACTCGATTAAGCTCTACCATCTTCTTGTTAGTCTCCAAGGCCAAACAAACCGAGGGTATCGGTATCTCAACCCTCCTCCTCGTAAGGATTCTAACCGCCGGGGGACGGAATAATCGGGCGATCGACGATGGTGGTCGTCTCCCGCCCCCCGCGTGCCTTTTGATAGTCGAGCGACGGCGTGGCGAGCAAGGGTCACCCGCAGGTGCTTCTTTGCGCTTCCCCTCCCTCTTTTTCCATCTTCTCCCTCCTTCCGATTTCTGGGTTTGATCCCGCAAACTAGCGTTTCCACATTAGGGTTTTTGGATAACGATGCTACTGGTTTGCGCAAGCTGGCCCAATTGGCAAGTGTCAAGCCTATTTGGTTTGCTGAGATTGACGATATGACTCATGATTGTTGCTTAATGTTTGGTGAGCATTAATATAAGGTCTGATTTATCATGCATTTGTCTTTTATTAGTCGAGGAAGGAAAGCTGGAAAAAAGAATTTGAGCTTTAAATTTTTATCTTAGAGTAATAATTGCACTCACTTTCTATTGTATTATTGAGGATGAGGGAATCGAGGAGGCTACCGATATATTGTGATCACAAGTAATTTGAATAACCAGGATATATAAATTAAACTGAATTATGTTTTATGTTTGGACCAATAAAGCATCAAAAGCAGGGAATCGACCCTTGGTTTGTCATGCCTTCCTTCTGTCCTACTGAAAACACACAGGTTATTATAAGAATCTGTTCAGGAGAAGAGAATTAAAGCTTGGGGGGCTAAAAGAGGGAATCTTGTTTCTATATTTTGTAGTGTAACCATAGGAATAATTTCAATTTAAAAAACAGGATAATAGCTACCTTACTTCAGATCTTGATGAGCCTCTGTTTAATCTCTCTTTGTAATGTACTTGGTGAAAGCCCTAAGTTATGAATCATTTTTCTTCAACTAGGCGAGCTAGTAATCATTTAGATATGTAAATTAAAATGACTCTTGTCTTTTTTTCTTTCTTGATTTGCATATGCTTTAACCACCATTATGATCATTGTATGTTACACTTCTTTTGGTGCTCTTCATGATTATTTTATTTGTATGATAATTTATATATTTAAATAGTGTTGGATATCCTGCGTCGTTTGCTCTGTAGTAGATCAAGCAGTCATTCACATTAGAACAGGGTTAGTATTTTGTGATTTTTATGAACTTCATCAATAGGTAAGTGTGTGGAATTGTGAGTTGTTATATGTTTTGTACAGGTCTATTTTGTGGAGAATTAACTGGCCATTATTTGAACAGGTTTTTTTATTCTAAAGTGGCAAAAAGTGGTTGAATTATTAATTTTCCTTTGTAATTTATTACTGAAGTAGTGTTATGGATAATCTTTAGCCCAGAATTTTTGATGATCTGATTGAGCCCAGGAAGCAGCATGAGTCCAGATGTTTTTTCATTTATGGAAGATTTGCTTAACTAGTTGAATTGAGTTGTGTATGGACTCATTTAAGTTTGAATTTAGTATTGAAAAGCCCAAACTTGTTGTGCAGTTCATGTCTATGTTCCAAAAGATAAAAAGGGTCAAAAATCTTCATCAAGAATATGGAGTGGAAAAGATGCAGATTATGTTAGTGTAAATGCCTTCTCTTTATGTTTTGATTTTGTTTATCATTTATCAATTTTCTATGGACCTATTTGCCAGTTAATTGGTAATTCTTCATTTCAGCAATTCTTAATTTATTTTGTGTTTTGTTGGATGTTGAAATTTCGAATAAACTTTATGGAAAAGTATGTGTAAATAAGGTTTTTTTTTTTTTTACCAAGTGATAAGGGATCATATGGTTGATCGATTATTGGTGCAACCTGTATGCTCGTAAAGAATTGTTCGTTTTGAGTAAAAGACATACACGTACGATTTTATCTTTTCGGAACATGTGAACTTCAAAGACAATCTTTGATAAGGAAGAACTGACATACAACATCTAAGTAGCATGTGCGTAAGTTTTATCACTAAGATAAGTAGGATTTGATCAATCCTTGATTCCCATACTCAATTAATGTAGGACTCAATAGTTTTATCACTAAGATAAGTAGGATTTGATTACATACAACATCTAAGTAGCATGTGCGTAAGTTATTGATATGATCATCAAACTAATATTTTTAGGTAAATTTTTTTTTTTAATTTTATCTTCTTTAGAACCAGTTCTTAATTTTGACATTATATGACTATTTTGTATGATCTTAACCAGTTCTCCTTTGACTAGTTCTTAAAACTCGCATGTGCGTGTGCGCACGTGTGATGGGATTGCGTTTGGAGTTTCGACCAGCCACGAAAGGTGGGCTTATGGAGCACGCACCTTCGTTCCAAACAAACTTAATGACCGGTTCGATATGCGTGGCTCAGCTCGTAACGTGAATCTTAAAGTACGTACCCGCTCCTGTTCTATGCGCTGAGTTTGGGCCGCGTGGCTCTCACGCCACTTGACTGATCCCGGCTTGTTTGCACAGGTAAAATATCTAGTTGCCACCTCATTTTTTCGTCATCACACGGCTGGATCAGAAGCGTGTCGAAGAGATTCGTGCACTCTCGTGGGCCGGCGCTGCGAGAGAGGCCACGACGGACCAGCTGATGATGAACTCGAATAAAAAGGATAACGGAACGTGCCAGTTTCCTTTATGCATTGAGGGCCTGTGATGGGGAACGTACCGCTAATCCTTCGGCTTTAGATAAGGCTGAACCGGGGACCGGTTTCTGGTTTTGTACTGCGGATGAGCACCGACCCGCATCTGATTCTAAGAAATCCACCGGTAATCCTACCACCATAATTTACCCCCCAATTTGAACAGGTGAAGGTCAATTTTGGTTCAATCTTTTCATGCAGAACGGTCAGAAAAGAATGTTCGGATGACCCAAAATTAGGTTTTCTGTGCCTTTGGTTTTCACAGAGCAAACGGAGACTGAGGACGCAGCCAAGTCATACTGGCAAAAGAGTAGAGGAAGGAGAGTCCAGAACAAACTCAAAGGAGAAGACCCGGTCTGACTCCAGCTGGGTCCTCCGCATCCCATTTGTACTCTCTCTCGCCCAACCTGGCGTTCCGTGTGCCGTGTTCGACAGCGACCCCTTCCCGCCACCCCCCACCCCCAAGCCATTTATACCACCCCTCCTTCCAACCTTTCCCACTCATCGGTCAAACACATCACTGACCCTGTCCAGGATCGCCACCACACGTACCACAGCACCCGCATCAGCAGCAGCAGACAGAAGAAGAAGACAGCCGACTGGGAATGGAGAACTTTTGCAGCGACTCGACGAATTCGCCGTTGGCCCGGAGGTCGGCGGCGTCGGACGAGGATATGTCGTACGCGACGGTGTCGTCGGCGCCGCCCAAGCGGCGAGCCGGGCGCACCAAGTTCCGGGAGACGCGGCACCCCGTGTACAAGGGCGTCCGGCGGCGGAACGGGGACAAGTGGGTGTGCGAGGTCCGGGAGCCCAACAAGAAGTCGAGGATCTGGCTGGGCACCTTCCCCACCGCCGAGATGGCCGCCCGCGCTCACGACGTGGCCGCCATGGCCCTGCGCGGCCGCTCCGCCTGCCTCAACTTCGCCGACTCCCCGTTGCGGCTCCCCGTGCCGGAGTCGTCCAGTCCCGCCGACATCCGCAGGGCGGCGGCCCGCGCGGCCGAGTCCTTCCTGCCGCACCCTGACCCGGACGCTCCCGAGCCAATGCAGGACCAGAATACAACGTCGTGCGAGACCGCGGGGACGTCGGCGGCAGCCTGTGATCCATTCCTCGTGGAAGACGGTCTCAACTTCGGAATGCAAGGGTACCTGGACATGGCGGAGGGGTTGTTGATCGATCCGCCACCGCCGCTGCCGACGAACGGTGACGACGACGAGAGCGACGGCAACGTGTCTCTGTGGAGCTATTCCATCTGAGACCGGAGGGAAGCATCCTGTACAGCATAGGCAAAAATTGCTGCTTCGCCGGAATTGGTGGCCAATTCACTGCCTCGTTTACGTTAGGAAAACAACTGCATAAACAAAATAGAATCAACATATACCAAAGAAGTCTTTCAAATAAAGGAGGGAGGGAAACAAGGCCAGAGTTGAGTAGAGTTGTCAAGAAGCAATATATGGTTAGAGCTGTCTTGGGGGATTCATTAGAAGTGAAATATTATTATCGCTTCTTGCTGAAAAGAAGCAAATCCTACTTCTACATTCTTCGGCAATAAGGGATGCGGAAACTATTGGTCGTGTCTATTGAGATAACGTTCAAGGAAAAGTAGGTGAGATGGCAGCGCTTCATTGGCGAGGAAAGCGGCCCCACGATCACGCTTTAAAAGGACCCACCGTCCATCGCGGGATCCGTGCTGTAGAATGAGCGCCTCATTTAGTCAATATCCTTATCTCAACAAAGATTCTGGAATGTCCATGTCGGCTGCTTCCGCAGATATGGTCTGAGAGGTCTCACCTATTCAAGGAAGGTTGGCACGAGAGGGTTCCTCGGAAGGTTCTTCGGCGGAATCTTTTGGGTACGGAACAATCCACTGACGCGGCTTCTGGGTTTTCATGGGTCCCGTGGAAATGAGATACATTGAACTCGACCTGTGGAAACCTTCCAAGGAGCCTGTGGTGCGAAAACTCCGGTTTGGATTGGTTTTCCTGACCTACTCTAGAGGAAGCGCTGTCCATTTACGTGTCTCGATGCCACGTGGGATAAGAGTATCTTGAAAAACCAGAAATGCTTTGTAACACGACAAAAAGTCACGCGTCACGTGCCTCACACTCGAGCCCTGATCTCTCGGGCCCCAAGCTCATCGATGTGTGTTCCCAATCAACCGTTGGAAAATTTATTTGCTGATTAATGCGATGAATATATATATATATATATATATGTATAAAGGAAAATTTATTGAGAAATGAATGTTCGAATGATTCACATTAAATTACGAGTAACAATATATGTTCATCTTAATTTTTATTGGGGAAAAATATGCAACATATGTCGTATATTCAAAGTTGATTCTCGTGAACCACATAATTTAGAAGAAAAAACAGTAACTTATTTGAAGAATAAGACACAGCACGAGAGGTCGAAATTGCTCGCGTATCTATTAGTATTATTTTGTTAATCACGTGTATTTCACGTGACCTTAAAAGTCAAAGATGCGGTCAAACAGATTCATTGCCCTTTAGAGGCCACATAAGCACGTTTCCCGCGCCCGAGTGAGCTAAGCGGTCCTCTTCTGATTTGTTTAGATCTTACCCACGGACGTCTCTTGCCTATTGATTGGAACCGGACATGTCCCCACAAGATCTTCTCTGCTGTCACCAATCACAAGCAAAGGTACAGTTTGAGATAATTGATTCCCACAATTATCGTAAAACCCAGGGTAAATTGGAAGCAGAAGTAGTAGCTGTTTCCTGGCGTGACTCCGAAGACCGGATCTCCGCCCCCCTCTCCGACCCCCAAATTCTCTGGCCAAAAGCCGACAGCGGCCACGCCTACGCTGCCAAAGCAAGAAGAGAGAAGAAAGCGAGGCAGCTCCCGCCCGCCTCTCCCGCCCGCCTCTCCCGCCTCTTATCTCTTCTCTCTCTTTCAATCTCTCTACTCCGCCCCCTCTTCCTCTTTCATACGGTTCCTGAATCCAATCGCACCTCTCCCATCATCCATCCCCTTTCGGTACCCCCTTCTATCTGATTCTTATTATTCCTGCTTTTGGAGTGCGGATACCGCTAGGGCTTTGCTCCAAATGCGGTCCCTTGTACCAATCAAAATCGATTTGCAACGGAGTGTTGTTTTGCTTGTTGAGAATCCTTTCTTTTGCTTTTGTTTCTTGATTTCTAGGTCGTGATTGGCCTCTGCGGGCGCGTGCCGTGGTCTTCGAGGATCTAATGGACCAGGTGAGTGCTGCTGTGCTCCTCGCAAGTGAACGCTTTTGTAGTTTTTATCATTCTCTCAAGTTGTAAAAGGAGGGTTTTTGGTTGCAGTATGAGAAGGTGGAGAAAATTGGGGAGGGGACTTACGGGGTGGTGTACAAGGCTCGGGATCGTCTCACCAACGAGACAATAGCTCTGAAGAAGATCCGGTTGGAGCAAGAGGATGAGGGGGTCCCGAGCACCGCCATCCGAGAGATATCTCTCCTGAAGGAAATGCAGCACAGTAACATTGTTAGGTAACTCCATTCCGACTCTCCCTTCTTCAGCTATGTCATAATATCGGTTAACTTTACTTTTTTTGTGTCAATGCTTCCATTTGAAACTAAATGTACCTTGAAAAGAATTAATTCGTCTAGAACTTGACGTTTCATGAATCCACCCTAGTTCTCAAGGTTTCCTCGTTATCATTATCCCTTGCTTAGCTCCTCAGAAGTGCTGGAATATTATCAGTATGCATTAGTCTATGGAGATGTTGCCAGAGAAATACATGAACTTGGGGGAATTCACTGACTACTATACACATTTACGCTATTGAAATGCTTATAATGTTGCAATTTCGTTTCTGCACCTACTTTAATGAATATGCAAACAACATTTCCTGATCTCGTTCATTTTTAAGAAGAATTCACATAGTAAAGGGGGGATAGCTGTGGTCTTCTGTTCTGAAATCTGGATTTATTTTTAAGGAAATTCTTTTATGATTCTTGTATAAGTACGTCTACTATTAGGAGTTGACTGTGGTTCTTTGGTCCTTATTGAGAATGTAAGCTAGTCTGTTTTCGTTGGAGGTTTCGGAGTACTGTGAGTTCTCTGTCATCTGTATGGATGATTAAAAGTGAAAATAAAAGCACATTTTCGGAGGTCTCTGGTTGAACTTATTCAAATAAAATTACTTTGGGATGGAAGAGTTGTTAAGCTGACATCTAATTTTACTTTTCTTAGATGCACACATCTAATTTGATATCTTCGATTTCTCCCGGCTGATCTTGAAGATAAAGCTCTCATATCCGCACACTAACATGATATATGCAAGATTAGGACCAGTTTTAGGAGTGGCTAGAAGATTTAAGATCCATACAAAGCAGAATTCGGATAGCTGACACTGCCTGGATTGATGGTTGACACTGCCTGGAGTGTTGAGATTGGCCAATTTCATGTAGTCCTAGTGTCTAAATTCGGATAGCTGTATATTGTTGGGATTGATCAATCCCACAAACCATGTACCAATTACCAATCCATAAACTCAAAAATAGAAGCTGATATTGATGTTTGGGCTTCCTAAATTGACAGTTCTGACTGCTACAATATATGATATCTGGTCATAGATCAGCATAGCTTTTTTGTCGAACAAGGAGATGCATTGTCTATTTTTAATCATGTGTATGTGAGTGTTGCATTTGTCTGAAAGTTCTGTGTTGGCATCTACCTCGGAACTCAGTTATACAAACTAACCATTTGGAGCAGTAGCTATAAAGTCTTAAAATTCCTACTCTAGTAACATTTTCTACCTTACAAGTCTCAACCTAATATGACTTTGCCACAACACTGTCCTGTAGTTTTCTTGGATGTGAAAAATGTCTATAACTTTATATGATGTTGTAAGCTACCTTACGTGACATATAACTCTGGATTATATCAAATGTTGAAGATCTACCTATGCATTTTTGATAGATGTGATTTTTCAGATTATTTTCTTCTTGATCTTATGTTGCTTTTTCTTTCTTGCCAACATGACAAGAAAAAACCTGTGTTCATAATTGTTCCTGCCATGAAATTCAAAAACTCAAGATTTTGGTGATTTTAATATCATTCTACTGGCACAACAGGTTGCAGGATGTAGTCCACAGTGAGAAACGAATTTATTTAGTTTTTGAGTATCTGGACTTGGACTTGAAGAAGCATATGGATTCTTGCCCAGAACTTGCTAAAGATCCTCGTTTAATTAAAGTGAGCACCTTTTTCCTGTAGAGCCTATCTTAATATATCCTACATTATTCATTGTAAGAGTACTATGCTTTCATATAGCTCTCACCATGTACATTAAGTGTAGAGAAAACTTCTTCATGAAAGTTAGCTGAAGGTAGTTTTGCAGAAAAAAAGTCAGGGGATTTGTCTTGTTTTATTGCAGAATCTGATGATCTGGTCAATTCATCAGTTTTTCAGAAATTTTCTTCTAAAGTAATAATGCAATACTTACTCAACACCATGTATGACTTGTAAATAAATATCTTTTATGCAGAAAACAACTTCTTTAGTTTTGTTTAAAGATCCATGATTTACAATGATTCCGGTACCTAGGTGATTTATTTGTTTGAGGCTCATATTCTTCAAAATTATGGTATTCTTATAAAAACTGTCAATGCTTCTAAGTGAAATTGCAAAAAGGCCCTGTTTGTGATGCAAGTGGTGGTTTTTTTTTTTTTTTTTTTCTGTTACAGTGTATACATGCTCATAATGATAGAGATGGGTATAGAAATGTGATCTGGGTTTATGATATCCATATCTTGGAAGCTTATGTCTTCCTCTCTTTTTGCACCTGCAGACATATCTGCATCAGATACTTCGTGGCATTGCCTATTGTCATTCACATAGGGTCCTTCATCGAGATCTGAAGCCTCAAAATCTATTAATTGATCGGCGTACAAATGCGTTGAAGCTTGCAGACTTTGGGCTCGCTAGAGCTTTTGGCATTCCTGTCCGAACTTTCACACATGAGGTCTTGCATTATTATAATTCCATAGTCAGCCTTAAATTTATACTCATGCTTAGTGTAGATAAGTTATTGATGTTGATCACAAATGTCTGAAGCTCTCTTATATAAAAAGGTGAACCCAGGGTACAAGGCTCCTCCTAGTGCAGGTTAGAGGAGTATACAGCCTTCTCCCTGCAAATGGAGAGGCTGTTTCTGTGAGTCAAATCCTAGTCAACAGGTCAGAAAGAAGTAACATTTTTGTTGTCAGAAGGCTTGACCTCCTGAAGTTATCTTATATCTTTCTCGAAAAAATAATAAAATGCTGTTTTAGATCAAATTTATCTTTCAGCATAGTGACTGTTACCATTGCTTCAAAGCCATTTGCTAATTCTGTTTTTTGTGGTAATGCCTGATTTGACTGCTGTCTTATGGAGTTAGGTTCTCCATTAACTTTTTCTGTAGATGGTTATACCATATCAGATAATTTGTAGACTAAATATGGTTTATGGTACTGCCAACAACCTCATTTCCTCAACATGACAATGTGCCATGCTCATACTGGCATGGCAGAAAATAACCATGATATACCAATAAAAAGTGTTTAATACGTCGGTGTCGACCATTATTATAAAAGCTCAACCAGCTTTTATCATAAAAGCTGTTCTGTTTAAGATCAGGCAGGTTCAGACCTTTGGTTAAAACCAAACAACAACATGTCAACAACAAGAACAATAAGCTGGAAACTTTCAACTATTTAGGGTCGACCATGGATCTTTTGCTGCAATTGAACTATA